ATCAGAGATTTATCTACAGCGCCGCCCCGCCGAAACAACCCCCGTCGAGCGCCGCCCCACCGAAACAAAACAAAACAAAAAAACAGAGCGCTGCCCCACCACCCCAAGATTGGCCGCCCTTTAGAAGGTGCTGCCCCAAGCACGTGTTTGGTCGGCTGGTGCCTGGAGCCGGCTCTGGTTCTATGAACAGAATTCTTGAGTCTCCAGAACAGTCAGTATCATAGAATCATGTCAATCCCATACCTTTTGTGAACAATGTGTGTACATGAATTACTTAAACCAAAATAAATAAATTATTTGTCACTTAGCTGAAGATCAAAACTCAGATACAATTCCAAGGTAAAAAGTGAGCCAAATACAATTACCTGCTTTTTCTATCTGTTCCTTCACAGCATTACCATTTTGTATTTTAAGATTGAGATACTTATACTGTCAATAAGGTCTCTGGGATAATTAAGACAGTTTATCCTTTTAACATCCTATGTAAAGACAAACAAACTACAGTACTAACCTCTATATCTGTCTGAAAGTTAAAAAGATCTATTCTTTGCCAGTTACTTCCATCCAGAGCCAAGACATTCCATGCCTAGAAAAAACATATATATGTTTAATAAATCTTCTCTATCAGGCACTTATATAGCCCTCCCCTCATCGCTATAGTATGAGTGTCTTGAAATCACAGACATGACACAATTATTCTTTCAGAATGCAATAGTTTGTATGTAAATCAAAAGTGATTTAGGCATTGAGGGTTATGAAAAAAGTAGCTTGCTAAAAACAGATTCTGTTGGACTGAGTCTTTTAAATCCTGGGATTGTGTGTTTTCAGACTGTAAGGGCCAAATTCTGCCCATGGATATGTGCATGAACATTGACTTAAATGCAAACCACACACATACACAGTATAATGGCAGAATTTTAACCTCATCATTTAAAGCAATTTTAGTAAGTTCATTGTTCAATAAATTATTTTTCTTAAGAGCTGTATGTAAAGAAGAAGAATTTAAAACATAGCTGCTTCTAGTCAAAGAATAAAAAGGAAGAGCTGGGAACGCTTGAAATAAATGTATTTATATAGAGGTTTTCAACTTCAAAATTCTTTATAAACTTTACAAACTATTGGCTCAGTCCTGAGAGGAGCAGAATACCTTCTGCAAGATGCTACCTTCTGAACACCCCTATTTTCATGGGAATGGAGGCACTCAGACCCTCTCAGGATTGGACCATATTTTATTATATAGTACGTACACAAACACACGCACACGCACATTTCTTCACCACCACTGGGGTGAAACATGGCAGCTGTTAAATAGCACACATCACCTCTACACAACAGTTCAGGCTAGAAAGTGAAAAGGAATTCCTTACTCAATAGAAACTGCTGAGACATCTGGTTACTCAACCAGTTCAATACTGAATCAGAGGGAAGACTACCACGTACTGATTCATCAACATTATTTTCTGCAGCACTCTAGGTTTTAGCTGGCGATATTGACCAAGATTGATGCTGCTTAGCTTATTAAATCACAGTTCATGGTGGGATGGAAGCAGGAATAATATAGTTATGTTCTGAATTAGAAAAAAAAAAGGTTTGAATTTCACTGAAAAAAAAAAGTGAAGTGAAAATTTTAAAGCCTGCCTTTTGAAATAATACAGAAAAAAGTTCACTATGCTAGCTTGGTGTATATAAGGTTTGTTTTTGTACACACTTCATGTAAGAATAAAATCTATTTCATTTTAATTCAAGCAAAACAAGCTAGATGAACATAAAAATGTATTTAGATATGCCTTTTCAATTGCCTTCACACGAGTGCCCTTTTCTCTACTGGTAGTAGATTTATTTAATACCTTCAGCATTTGGCAAACACAGTGGATACACTTCTTAAACATATGTTGAATATTAACAGAGCTACATGGAATTTTAAGCACAAAATACTTCTGAAAAATAGTGTTATAAAGCCACAAATTTTAAATAGCAAATGCCACTATACCGAAAAAGGCCTAATTCTTTCTGCATATACAAAGCATGTATCATTGCACATCTCTTGCCCCCACCCCGCCACCCCTTAAGAGAAAACTCCAGACACACAGTGATTCATTCTGCATATCTGATTGCAGGCTAGGGCTCTCAGTTTCTTATCCATTGCTCATCAAAGTCAATGGTAAGATTCCCTTTGATTTCTAAGAGCCTGATCTAAAGCCCATTGTTTGCTGGTAATTAATAAAATAGTCCTTCTCAGTGCACAAATGACCCAAGTAAAGCAAATACTGTACCTTGGAAACTTGCGCACATCGGCACAAAGTGACAATATCCAAGAAGGAAAATATTCTAGGAAGAAAAAGAACAGAATCAAATTATGCTGATGTTTTATTACTAATCCAGTCTAATATACAGGCTCACAGTTTCATAATCATAGGAAAAAATTCAAGTTACATAAAAAACTAAATTACATTTAACTCTGCAATACTACAAACTTGTATCGGATAGGCTGACAACATTTATATATACTGACTAAGGGGCAAATCCACCCTCTTTGTCCATGGCTGTGGAGGACCTCAATGTAGCAGAACTAGTGCACAGCTGCAGCTGTTGATGCTGACATCTGAATTTTGGCTTCTATGTATGTATTACTAGAGAATTCATGACCAAACAAGTACTACCAATAACCAATTCTAAAGCTGATTTTTAGATTAAAGAGAAACTAGTTCATAAACATTTTATGGTGTGCCACTTTCTAAAAGAGTAATTACTAAAAAACAAAAGCAAAGATTTAGAAGAAGGTTTAGAGAACAATCATTTGGAAATAGGATACATATGCTATTTTTGATCAGTCCATTCCAATCAGGGGTGTGTGCGCGCACGTGCACGTTGGCCAGAAGATTTTCCCCCTAGCAGCATCCGTCGGGTCGGCCTGGATGCCCTCTGGAATCGCGCCTTCATGGTGCCTAATATAGAGTCCTACCGACCCACTAACCTCTCAGTTCCTTCTTGCCGGCTACTCCAATAAAGGAGTAGGAAGGTGGGTATTGGAATGGACATGAACAACACATCTCAAAGAACAACAGTTACGAGAAGTTAGTAACCGTTTTTAATTCGAGTGCTTGTTCATTTCCATTCCAATCAGGTGACTATCAAGCCGAATTTAGGAGGTGGGGTCGGAGCTATCCACTGATTGGAGTACTGCTCTTCCAAAGGCCGTATCGTCTCTCTGTCACTGGCGGTAAGAAGGAACTGAAGGGGTGGTGGGTCGGCAGGGCTCTATATTAGGCGCCATGAAGGCGCAACTCCAGGGGGCGTCCAGGCCGACCTGACGGATGCTGCTAGGGGAAAAATCTTCCGGACAACGTGCACGTGCTCGCGCACACACCTGATTGGAATGGACATGAACAAGCACTCCAAGAAGAACTGTCCAGATTTCTAATAGGTCACATATTGCTCACTAAGCCTGTGAAATTCAATAATTTAAAAAAATTAGACTTACTCTACAAGAAAGAATGACACAGGAGTTCAGTATTCACCATTACTATCTAAACACGATACCATTTCTGTAAACCTGTCTACTCTAACTGTTCAATTCTGAAGGAGATTTGCATTGGCAAGATGAACACATGTTCCAAATATCAATAAAGGCAGCTCAGGGGATGTTCTCAGGGGAGGAAAGAATTTTGGTGTAAGCACAAAAATGCAGATTCTTTTCCAAAACTATTTTCTACTACAATCACTCATAAGAATATATACTAAAGTTAAAAAACATTACCTGCTCATGAGGCCATCAACATTTTTATCCTCAAAATTATGAAAATCTTAACTTGCTATCAGTATCATCTTGTACTAAAATCTTAACACCGATGGTAAATACAGCTGATGTGTTGGTGAAGAGATGATGATTATTAAAAATGATCTAAAAAATCTGACAAACATTTTCAAACTTTAAAGCTTAAATCAAGGCACCTAAACCCATAATTAGGAACCTAAATAAGTTGCCAATTTTTCAGTTCAATACCCATGGAATTTGACAGAATCTACAAAATGCCACTTGGATACCTAATTTTTGACACCCAGGTTTTAAAAATGATCTTTCCTGATATTCCATTATCACATTTGAACACATTCTATTTTTCAATACATAAAAATATACATGAATTAAAATAAATCCATTTACCATGCAAACTCAAACAGAAGAATGAGCACCTTTGTAAGGTATGAATGGCATTTTACAAAAGCATTTTTGACAATATTTATTGTGATTGGAATACCCATTTGAAGCTCAAGGTACTTTATAAAACTAAATACCAACACCATGTGAATGGATTTGGAAGGTCTCAGATTTATACATGCTGATTTCAAAACAGTCGTCCAAAGTATTTCAGTAAATTTGCCTTCACATTCTATCTAGTCAAAAAATAAAGGGCTGTGACAAACCATTTTGTGGCACTCTTGTTTGAATGGAGAAGAGGAGGAGCGTTTTGGCTTTCATACTAGTCATTCATTTTGTCATAGGTAACATTATACAGAGATCTGGGAAGAAGTGAAGAGGAAAGGAGTTTGTAGATCCCATTACTCTGAATTGTCTAATAGTGTGTCCCAATGTTTCACTGTTTATGATGGTGCACATTAATACATCAATATTCTGTTTTAAAAGAAGGAAAGAACACAAAGGTCAAACATACAGTTAGGCTTTTATTTCTTTCTCCTCTGGCAGTTGGCCATTATTCTAGCAGAGGCAACTTTGTACAGGGAATTGCTTTGCATTACAAGGAGAATCTTTTTAATTTGACCTTCAATTGGAGAAGTTTTTAATTTTATCTGATGAAGTCAAATTTTCTACCATCCTTGGAAGTCAGCCAAGTTGTCCTCATGAAACAGACAACTTAAATAATGGCAATAACAGAACATATGCATCATACCTCATTTTTTCTTTACTGGCATTAATTAATGCTTGTCAGCACTTTGAAGGTATAATATGCTATGCAATTGTTAAGTATTACAGCTGATAGCATGAGATACCATTGACTTGTTTAGCTATAATTGCTATGAGTCATTTCACCAATGCCATAATTTATCCATTGCCATTATTTCTGCTTGAAATATTAAGCAACAAGATTTCCATTCTTCTTGCTTATTTCATTCATATCATCTTGAAAAGACAATTATCTGCCTTCCATATTATTGACCAATCTAACAGAAATTTGTTTCTGCAGATACTGATATAAATGTCTGATTCAGAGTTCATTGAAGTTAACGGAAAAGCCCTCATTAACTTCAACGAGGCTTCTGATCAGGTTCCAGACCTCTTGGAGTTGGCTAATCTCTATCCTGAATAGGGACTCCTTCTCCCACTGTGTTTGCGGAATGAATGCCAAATTAGGCAATTCCATGCCATCTTCTCAACAACAGAGTCTACGTAATTTCACCTAGCTCAAGTGCAAAATAGAGCAAATAAAGTCTTGGGAATAACAGCAAGCGACTCTGTGAAGTGAACAGAATCCAATGTGCTCAAAGTCAACAGTCAACCATGGCAAAAGCTGCTCGCATTTCCTCCGATTCCCCTATTTTTCTTCCTTCCCTCTGTCCAGTTCTCTCTAACCTCTCCATTTGTCTCTACCACACTTCAACTTTAAAATGATTTTAATGACTCGTTTGACTAGAAGAGCTTTATAATTCCTAACACCAAGTAGTCTCTCTTGTAGCCTTCTAATCCTGCTGTAAAATCTACATCTTTCATGAAGCCTCACAAATCTGATGCAATCACTAACAAAGTTTACGTGCCATCTTGCATCTGAATTGAATACATATTACATTTGTTCAAGCTCGATTTGAGTAAGAGTCCTCAGAGTATGGGATTTGTCCTTTATGCACTTGCAAAACAATGTGTACTTTTACACTGACTCTTCCTTAGCTGACAATTCCTTACCAGAATTAGCTAGAGAGAGGCAGAAAAAGGACTTTGGAGTCTGAATGGAAAGAAAAAAAAAAAGATTGAGAAGTACAGACTCTGACTTCTCAGCACTTAACCTGAGTGTTTTTTGTTTGTTTGTTTGTTTTAAATGTAAAATATACCCAATAGGACAGCTGATAGACCTACAGCGCACCAGTCCTTCACAACCAGAGTTATGCAGAAGTTAATGCAGCCAGCAGGAAGATTAATTTCCTCTTAGTACTTGGGCATGGATTAGCACAGGGGAGCTGGAAATGAAGTTCATATTGCATAGATTCTCCTTTCTCCTGGATAGCTCCATATCTGAACCAATAGGCAGAGCTGGGTGGATAGTTCTTTACATTACTTCAACACATCATACTGTGGAGGGAAGGACCCGCTGCCAAATTGCCGCCAAAAAATAAAGCGGCGGCAGAAGTGCCGCCGATCGTGGCTTTTTTTTTTCCCGCCCCTTGGGGTGGCAAAAACGCTGGAGCCAACCCTGTTTTCAATTCACCTCATACAAATACTATAGTGCAATCTCTTTATCATGAAAGTTGAACTTACAACTGTAGAATTATGTACAAAAAAACCTCCATTCAAAAATAAAACAATGTAAAACTTTAGAGCCTACAAGTCCACTCAGTCGTACTTCTTGTTCAGCCCATCGCTCAGACAAACAAGTTTGTTTACATTTCCAGAAGATAATACTGCCTGCTTCTTGTTTATGTCACCTGAAAATGAACAGGCATTTGCATGGCACTGTTGTAGCCGGCATTGCAAGATATTTACATGCCAGATGTGCTAAAGAGTCATATGTCCATTCATGTTTCAACCACCATTCCAGAGGGCATGCGTCCACGCTGATGTCAACAGCAGAAGGTTGATTTTCTTTTCTGGTGATTTGGGTTCTGTAGTTTCCGCATCAGAGTGTTGCTCTTTTAAGACTTCTGAAAGCATGCTCCACACCTCATCCCTCTCAGTATTTGGAAGGCACTTCAGATCCTTAAATCTTGGGTCCAGTGTTGTAGCTATCTTTAGAAATTTCACATTGGTATCTTCTTTGCATTTTGTCAAATTTGCAGTGAAAGTGTTCTTAAACCGAACATGTGCTGTGTTATCATCTGAGACTGCTATAACATAAAATATATGGCAGAAAACGGGTAAAACAGAGTCAGAGACATACAATTCTCCACCAAGGAGTTCAGTCACAAATTTAATTAACACATTTTTTTTAAACGAGCGTCATCAGCGTAGAAGCATGTCCTCTGGAACAATGGCCGAAGCATGAAGTGGTATACGAATCTTTAGCGCATCTGGCACGTAAATATCTTGCAACACCAGTTACAACAGTGCCATGTGAATGCCTGTTCTCACTTTCAGATGACATTGTAATTAATGTCACCTTCTT